GACCTTCACAGATACTAGAAAAACTGCTTCAGAAATCAATCTAGTCGATAAGAAAGGTATTATGCTTATTAGAATGAATTTTACGATCTCTAACTATATTTATGAAAATCTGACTTAACTTTTGACATTATCAAAATCTCAACTTATTTGGTTGGGTTATTGCAGAGCTGTGGTCATAAGGTCCCAGGCCACTTCAGTAACTGGAATACCTTAGAGATACCCCTTCACTGTAGGGTAAACCCACCAGTAAGAACGAATGGAAAGTATCAAATGGCTCTGTGCAGACAAAATTAACATCGACTTCACCTCTTTCCAGTTACAGATGGTGTACTCATGTTTATTTATAATTCAGATCAAGGCATTGAACACATTTTCTGGTTTCCACTACCAAAAAAATGAGGTATGAAAGTTGTATGTGAGAATGTAATATCAATATTGAGACAAAGTAACTGCAAGGAAAAGAGAGGAAGTGTCCAAAATTAAGTCCCATGTAATCCATTTCATGGATGCATAGGTCTTTCTTTCCTTATTCATGATATGTACTAATACTTAACACAGCATTTATCAATGTTCTGCTTACTGAACTTTCTAACACTGCATGTTTTGGCAAAGTAACTCCTTCCTCATTAATTTAATATGCCATTATATTATATACTAGCAGAGAAGCCATCTGTTACATGTTAATCAGTACAAATGCAGTTTAATCTGAATTTTAGGCAATCAAACCTACTAAGGTTTGGGGGGCATAATTTAAGCCCTATTTATTCTAAATATGAAATATCTCATAGTTTAATTTGAATGAAAATTAAATCTCATTTCTCAAACCATGAAAGGAGAAAAATATGTAATAACTACACTTTTTGAGTAAAAAGGGAAACTATGCATGGATTTATTGAAAAAGATTTAAGGTAGTGAGAGAACCAGTATTTTCTTATTAATTATTTGACATTTATAGTAACACTAATAGTGATACATTCTGCTGTAGAATATTTTATAATTTTTATTCACTAGAATAGTTTATTATATTTATTATAGAAAACAATAAAAATTACTGGTCACAAAAGAGCATTCCAAGTATAATTTGTAAATGATTTGGGTTTAACCAGTCACTCTCTGGAATCCCAAATAGCTTCCTTTAGGAAAATAATATTATAATCATAATATTGCTCTTTTATTAATCAACCTACTTCAAATATCAGCCTAATACAATGATAGCAAGTGTGGTCATGTTGACTTCCACTTTCTCAAGCACCCTTCCCAATACCACCCAAATGATCACCAGAGATTGTTTGCATTAGAAACCAAAGGAGGTAAGGTATTGCTGATTGTCAGGTAATCTGTGGTTCCTCCTCATCGTGATTGGAATACATGCCTACATCAACACCTCCAAAGAAAGCTTCCCGGTTTCCATAGCTCTTTCTTCCCACAAGTCTTGTCTTACCACACACCAAATGACATTTGATTCTTCAATTACTGACCTTGAATAACTTCATATTTTCTTTCCACCAAAGGACTAGAAATTCCTCAAGGGAACAGTACAAGAAACACTGCTCCCGGGACATACAAAGTCCTGGAATACAGGCCTGGCCGGAGGGCTGTGCAACCTCATTCCATCTTAAGAGTGCTCATACAAGAAATGCAAAGAACCAGACCTTCATTATATGCTAATGTGCATTTAATAATTTTATTTTTATACTATGCATAAATAGAGGTATGTGGATATTAAAATGGTTTAGTAATCTGAGTCTTGAAGGGTACCAGTTGATCCTGTCAAATTCACTTTGCATAAAAATTAACATTAAAATATAATGTTTAATGAAATTAAATGTGAAACATCACTCTTTCTTGCCAGCTTTTTCCAAATGTTACAAAGTTATTCGATAAAACCTATTAAAAATTGCTCCTTAGCTGTTCTGAGGAAATTTTAATACTTTATACTTTAATACTGAAGTAGTATACTAGGTTATAAATGGAAAAAAAAAAAGGAATCTTGAATTTCAAAACATCACTTACAAGTTGGTTATTTGGAATTTAGGTTCAGAGGTCAATTCCAAAAGGCAATTTGACTTCTATGCACTTGAAATGAAAACTGTATAAAAGCAATACAAGTAAATTGAAAATAGTTAAGACAACCACTGCAATTCTAATTGAGGACATGAAGCAGTCTACCTTTTCCCAAGCCCCCTTTCTCTCTGTCAAAACAAAAAAATATAAAGGACTTGCTCTAGTTTCTTTCCTCTGTCAAACTTCCCTGACTCAAAAATTATAAATTTGGGCCAGGCATGGCCCCCGCTGCCAGACCTCCAAGAAGAAAGCAGTAAATTACGATTCTTTTCATCCAATTGTTAGACTATTAATGCCTTAACAATTTAATAATCCCAATACCTAAACAGTGCTCCACACAGTATGAGGAATGAATGAAAGCAAAAGGAACTTTAAGCAATATAAATATGCATCTAGATTGGGTATGCTCTGTGCAAGGATCTGAAATCCAAAATGCTCCAAAATATGGAACTTTTTAATTTAGGATTTTAAGATTAGCCATGCTCAACCACTGAACTATGCAAATATTAAAAAGTCGAAAAAACTCTGAAATATGAAACACTTCTGGCCCCAGAATTTGGGGTAAGGGACACCCCACCTGCATCATACAATGCTTTCCCTGGAGAAGCTTTCAAATGAGATGGGAGAGAAGATAAACATCAAAACATCCCTGGCTCCACACATTCTGGTGACCATATGTCATGACAAGCATCATGATGGTTTCCTTGGAGGTTTAAAATCTAACCAATCCTAATCCATTCATTCCTTCAAAAATGCTCACAAAGCCCCCTATTGTGTGACTTGAAAGGACAGGGAATGAAGGAATTTGGTAGGAGAATAAGGGACAGTTGAGGAGAGAAGGAAATTTTTCCAGTAAAGGGAAGGAAAAAACAAGTGTGTTGTTAATGAGGGATGCAAAACAGAGGCACAGAGATGCAAAACAGAGGCACACCCTCCACACACTCCTACAGCCACTACCTCAGGATTCTGGCAAGAACTAGATGCTCCTCGACCCCTGGGTATGCTGGTCCTACCTTGGCACAGCTTCACCATCTGCCAAATGAACACATCTATACCTATGTTGACTAACTGTAACTAGATGTGCAGGGGCACCATCTGAGAAAGGCCTTGGAAATTAAACTTCTCTGTGAACATACAATAATGACATACTATAAATATTTCTGTAGTTTAAATGAAATGTGCCATGAGTTTTCTACTATTTTAAGTGTTTTGTTTATGAGCACCAAACAAACAGTATATGCTCAATAAAATACTGACTGAACCCTGAAAACCAACCAGTAGTATAAAACACTACCATTTTAAAAGGAAATAGTTTTATAATTTAAAATGCTCATTTGACTATAAATTTGAATTTTTATACATGATCTTTTCTTTAAGAAGAATTTTCTACCCCTGCATATGAGGCTGATTTATCAATTATTACAAAGTGAAAACAAAACATTTATTATCAATCAAGTATAAAGAATTGCACAAATTACTTACTCTAGTACAGTATTCTTTCCTTCCTTTTCTTTTTCTGAATGCTACAGAATAAAATCATCTAGACAGCTTCAATTCACCCACAGTCTCTAGACCTCTATAGTTAGTTCAAAACATCTCCTTTATAAAGCCATTTTTTACTTTAAGGCTCTTTATGGGAGGGGAAGATAACTGAGAAAATGTAAAACCAAACTATTTCAGTTACATATTTCTATGCTTAATGACTGTTTAACCCCTCAGTATATATATTAAATAGTTTAAAGTATGATTTGATGGTTATAGGAAAGAGTTTAGAGATAGGAAATGACACATTTAAATATTTACAAAAAATTAAGAGTTACTTACATGGTAACACTAAAATAGTAGGTAAATTTTTAATTTTCTAAGACCTAGATTCAATTTCATATTATGTATTCTTGGCACTACATTATTGTCCCTCGTTGAAAAGCAAATTGAAATTTGCAACTTTAGGATGTGTCTTTGGCAAAGCTAAATCCCATTTTGAAAGTGCCAAATATCTCAAACTGGTGCAACCTGTCTGAGACTTGCAGTAATGAAATATGCTATGTCAAGCTTTATTCTTGATATTAAAGGCTATAATTATTTTGAGAAGACAATGCCTGACTCTTATTTTCGTTCCTCTTTCTTCCTCTCAATCCACACATACATTCACCTTCAAAACACACACACACATTCACACACACACACACACAAACACACTTACTTTTAAAACTAATTCATATTTCAGTATGAAAGCCAAAAAATTTATAAGAAAATTACAAAACATTTTCTGTGACTTTCAACTCTTACTCTCTTTTCTATAGTTTAGATCAAAAAGTTATTTTACTACTGAAAATTTCATAAGGATAAATGTTCTATTGGAGTTTATAACTGTGAAAGAAAACAAACCAATTCTTCTTTTCCAACTCAGCATATACAAAATTTAAGACTTTTTTTGGTAAAATGCAATAATGTGAATATGCCTATGAAATATCTATAAATAATATTTTCTTATCTTTATTAATAATTTTTATGGTTTGAATACAGGTAATGTTCTCTAAAAGTCTGTGTTTCCACGGCTTGGTCCCCCCAAGGTGGTGGTGTTGGGAGTTACTGTGGACCTTTAAAAGATGGGGCCTACCATCAGGTTCTTATATCACTAGGGGCAGGACTCTGAGGGGCGATGGGACCCCAGGCTCCTCCTCTAGGGATACGTGCGCGCGTGTGTGTGTGTGTGTGTGTGTGTGTGTGTGCTGAAGTCAAGAATCAATCTTTACTATTCATTTCTTCTCATTCTAACTTCATCTTTTTAAACAGAATGAAATTGACAGAATCAAAATACTAACATGAGCCTATATTTTGCTTTCTGGAATGTATTAAATGCTTGTTCTTATGTTATAAGGAGCTAGAAAAAGTTGTTTAAAATTAATCCACATTCAGTCTGAATGAGATCTTACCTTCTATTTTGTTGTTTTTCCTCTTCAGCCATTTTTCTACAGTCTCTGCACTGACACTTTCAGACACAAACTCATCTAATACCTGGGGGTGAAGAGAAAGATATGCCTTCACTTTTTCATCTGTCAAACCTGTAAAAGAATTGAGAAGAACAAAATTTACCTATATGACATCTTCATATACATGAAATAGACAGTAAATGACATCATGCTAAGATCCGGTAACCTCTAACCTATTGCAGATAGGGTTGGCAAACATTGGAATGGGGAGATTTTTGCTTAATGAATAAAGTGTTTCTGTTTGGCATTAAAGCAAAGCTTTGGAAGTATGTGGGTGATGACTGCACAGCATCATGAATAAAATTAAAATCACTGAACTGTACACTTGAAATGGTTAAAACAGCATTTCTATAAGATATCACATTAAAATCCAGTAAAAAAGAATCTTAAGTTGGAACTTTAGTGGTTTTAAAAGACATCATGCTACACGGCTATTTTCTAACAGTAAGTTTTAGTGCTCTCCATGAACCAATGGTGTGCTCTAGTGTGGTACGTGAAGCCTTAAGATATATTTGTTTTTTCAGTGAATAATTATCTCAGATTCAATATGCCTAGCAATAGAAGCAAAGAGGAGACCTAGCACTGAACCATTATAGGTGCTGAGAAAAGTTTAGTGAATATATTCTATCTTTTAGTGCCTTTCACCACAAATTCCTTCTTTTTTCTCATGAGCACTAAACTCAACGGTACAACCAACATTTAATTCAGAATACTTTTTATATTCTATGTACAGAGTGAGTTTCATTGAAATAATTTTCACAGTCACAGATAACAGCTGAATATACATAAGATTCTCAAACAAAATACTCATACATGTTTTCATATTGAACATATAAAACTACATGTTTTCAAATTAATCCCAAACACAAATAGGATATGAATAATTATTCTTGGTGAGGATAACTGTTTTTTAATACCGCAACTTCTCTGTGGATTGTTTCAATAAATGACTTGTCTTTAGGGACGTTTTAGTGAAAAGGGCAATGGAAAATTGTACTTCAAGACAGCAAAGGAGGAAAGGAAGCATAACTTGATGACTCTAGAGTAGGCTGTATGTTTTCCCAAACAGACAGAATTCATATGTGTTAATAATTAATTCTGCTGGGAACTAAAGTCACAACTGTTAGGATTCTGCAACAGAATGGTATCTCTGAGAAGGCAAAGGATTTCTTTCAGCACAGTCAGTAGCTAGTTTCCACACCCAACCTCCACACCTCCCTGAACACTGGAATAGAGGAAAGAAAAACATGAACCATCTATGTTTTACCCAGGGGCAAAAGAGCACACTAATGATTCAATTCGTGTGACACAGTAAAATTCAGTTTGAGAATTCTACAAGATACCAAGGACAAGAGATTAATTACATAAGAATGTGCTTGCCTGGTGAAGCAAGTTGTATGCCTAGATACCAAAGGATGGTCACCTACCCGACCTTCAAAAAAACAATGCACATGTCATATTGTCTTTGACTGTGTCTGCCACAGTTGAACATATTCCACGCTTAACTCCTTGACACCTCCCTCTGCAACATTCATGGCACATCACCTTAGTTCGTATCCTAACATTGTAATTGACCTTGATTTCTGCTTCCTCCTCAACAGTCCATGATGATGACACTACAGTGTGTGCTGGAGTCTCCCTTCCTCCCATCTCCTGGGCTTGGGTACTCTCATATCAGCTCAAGATGGAACATCTTGGTCAAAACTAAAGGAATCATCTTCCCACTTCTTCCCCAAAGAGATTTAACTCTCAATTACTATTTTTCTGTTTCTTTTACTCCCCAATTTCTCAGAAATCTAGGGTGGGAGTTTCATCATAACTGACATATCTTTCTTTGTCATCTCCTTTCCTCTCAATGCATTATCATAGAGTCCTACTGTCAAGTTAAATATCTGATAAAAGACTTGCATCCAAAACATACAAAGAACTAAAAACTAAAAACAAGAAGAAAACAGCACAATTTAAAAATAAGCCAAAATTCTAAATAGACAACTCACCAAAGAAAATAAACACATGACAAACAAATGTACAAAAAGATACTCATTTGCCATTAGTTGAAGTTAAAAAAAAAAAGATTCTACTACTACTAACACTTTCTGTATTCCCTAACAATCACACAACAACACCTGATCATACTAGGCAATATTCAACTGATATAAAGACTCATGCCCACATGAAACCCTGTTTGAGAATGTTTATGGACAGCTTTATTCATAATCAACTAAATCTGAAAGCATCCAAGCTGTCCTCTAATAAGCATCTACACAAACTGTGGTACATCTATATAACTGTGATCAGGCAATAAAAAAGAAAACAGCTAACGAGTCATGAAATGACATGGAGGGGTCTTAAATACATACTGTTAGGAGGAAACACATCCAGGCTTGCAGTCTACATATTATATAATTGCAACTACACACATTCTAAAAAGGCTACATGTCCTAGGAGGACATGTTGGCGCATGCCTGTAATCCAAGCACCTTGGGAGGCTAAGACAGGATTGTGAGTTCAAAGTCAGTCTCAGAAAAAAGTGAGAAACTAAGCAACTCAGCGAGACCCTATCTCTAAATAAAATGCAAAACAGGACTGGGGATGTGGTTTAGTAGTCAAGTGCCATTGAGTTCAATCCCTGGTACCTAAAAAAAAAAAAAAAAAAAAAGCTAAACTACAGAGATAGTAAACAATCAATATTTGCAAAGTTTCAAGGAGAAGGGAGAAAGACTGAATGGATGCAACACAGAAATATTTTAGGGTGATAAAAATATTCCATATTGTACTGTAATAGTGAATATGAGACACTAAGCCATTTGTCAAAACCCATAAAACTTCACAGCACAAAGACTAAACTATAATATGTATAATATGCACAAACTTTTAAAAACACTTTCAAGATCAGGGATAGAAAACAGAATCTTACAAAAAAAATCTAAAGGTACTACAAATGTAGGAAACAATCTCACTGAAGGGAATAGAAGGGATAAGGATAAGGTATTGATCAACATAACTCTGGGAATGAGCAGAGTCTATAAGACCAAATGCAAAAACAAACAAACAAACAAACAAACAAACAAAAACCTATACATAAGCTCTGTGCTCTAGTGGCTAAAGCTTTTAGCCCAGTGGGGAAGAGCTAACAATTCGGATAGTATACATACCAGGACAGGAGGAGAAATTGAGATTGATCCACATGGTAATATATTTGGAAATATCAATACAAACTCACATGTGACTTCACAGATGCTGGTTTAATATTGGTAGATATACACATATATATACAATTAGCACACATATAAACTTTGTCTTGTTATATTAGTAGACAGAGCCTGGAGCTAACAATATCCTAGTATCAAGCAGAACATGCAGCCCACAGTTTTTGGTCTCCAATTCAGGTAGAGTATTCCTTATTCAAAATGCTTGAAAACAGAAAGGTTTGAATTTCAATTTTTTTTCAGATTTTGAAATATTTTCATACACATAATGAGATATATTGGGACAAAACCTAATTCAAAACATGAAACACATTTTTGTTTCATATACACCTCAAATACGCACAGCCTGAAAATAATGTTCTACAGTATTTTAATATGCCTGTATTTTAACTGCATCCTGTTACAGGAGGTTAAGTGGGATTTTTGATTTGTGATTTCAAATCAGAGCTCAAAAAGCTTCAGCCTATACCTGATTTTAGGATACAATGAGAAAATACGTAAGATAAACCTGAAGCAGCCAATGATTAAAAACCTGTTACCATAACAATTTATTATTCTGATAAAGGAGATCCCCTATAAATCCTGAAGCACTTATTGTTTCTAAGTATTGTATCTGAATATCCATAAAAGTTCTTTTTAAGAATAACTATCAAATCAGAGGCTAAAGAATTATTGTTTTAAATAATTCTGAGGGTAAATTTAAATGTCTAACTTATAGATACTAAAAGACACATTGTTGGAAAAAGGAAAAGCAGTAGTTTTCAATTGGTAACTCTACTATCCTGACTATGGAGAAGAATACTTCTTTTCTGTGGTATTAAAGAAGCAGTCAGAACACATGGCAGAAGTCTAGCATGCTCCCCCTTTAACATGGAGGCACCTGCACCCTGGTCCCCAAACTTCCATTTCATAGGCCCCTTAAACTACCTTCACCCAGGTCTTCTTAACCTTAAGAGAATTCTCAAGGTTAAGAAGTAGGTGTCATGTCAAAGTAGGTATCATATCCTCAAGCTCTCTGTCCCATGCCCTGTCACAGAAAAGGGGACAAAGTTAAATTCCCATTATCTCACTATAGCTAAATTCAGTTGGATTACAATAAACCTTATTTTTTTAATTCAAGGAATACATGACTAATAACCCTTTCTCTGATTTACCACACTAATATTCTCAATTTTATAATTCCCTCTATCTAGTCTAGGTATGAGCAGTAAGTAAAATCATTTTCATCTTTTTAAAGATTTAGTCTAATTCTTAAGTAGATTTTTAAAAATTCCATGTACAATTGTCAAAAAACAGCTAAACTGTGTGCAGCTAAAATTCATGCCCAATGAGGAGCAGATGACGGAGTATAAAGATTTAGTTTGATACAAGATTTCTGTGGGCATTATTGCTGCTTACTCTGGATGTTACTAAATAAAACAGGTTAGGAAATTTTGGTTTATTTGTTTTTGTCATGTATGAACCCAGGAATTAATAATTAATATTTCAGGAAACCAGATAACAGTCCAACTTCACACAGATGTTTAAGAAAAAAAAATTCTGTAGCTATAAAATGCTCCCTCCAATATGGCAAAGCTCCTATACTTGGTTTCCAGTGAGAAGAGACCCAGGGACTTCAAACTCTTGGCAGCCCGAGAGATCCTCGTAGTCTCCACACACTTCAGAGCTGAGTGTATATACAGATTACTTTAAAATTCTTATTAGTTTCAAGAGAGTTCCAAAATGAATATCAGAAGAAGTAAATTTTCTTAGTATATACTGCAAGATAAATTATTTTAGCACATTAACACAAAATCTGTCAAGCACAAGTATCATGTGCCATACTAAGCAATCCTGGACTGTCACACTGCTTAACACAGTGTT